AACTGTCTGCAAGAGCTCCATGCACGGTCCAAAGGGCTCCCCAACCCCATCGCTTTAAAAAGCTGCTGACGGAAAAACAACAGGCCAAATGCATCCAGGGAGTAACCCTTCCAAGCCAGGGACTCACCCAGGGACCAACCTAGCCCCTTCTCTTTGGAAGCGATTTCTGGACAGGCATCAGAGGTTTTCCAGTCTCTCCCTCTTTATTACATGCAAAGATTTACTTGCAAAGAGCTGCTTCGGTTTCTCGAAGCCAAGGCAGCCGTGCTGCCTATTCCCCCACCTGAAAAAGCCATCCCCTTCCTCCTGACCTCATCCCAACTGTTGCCACAACAACCCCCGGCAACGTCACTGGCGGAGGATTAGGGCTTCAGGTGGGGAAGGAGCAGCAGGAGTAGCCGAGGCGAGAGCCAGAAAGGAAATGAAGGGAGACGGGGGGAGAAGGAAAACTCAGCAACAGCCCAGCACCGAGACAGGGGATGGCTTCCAGGTTGCAGGTCCGGTCGGTCCCACACCGGGGATGCTACAGAGCCGTGTGGGGATGCCTTGGGCCCGGAGAGCCCAAGGCTTGATGTGGAGCAGGGGAAGCCCCTTGAGCCATCTCCCACTCCTCTTGCTGCCACTGCACTGCTCTTCGCTCCGGTCTCCGGGGAAGGGCTGCCTGGCTTGGGTGAGCATCTCGCTCCAGAGGTGCCGAGGGCTGGGTTGGCTAATGCTCGTTTCTTCTTGCTTCAGGATCAAGCCCGTCTCATGTTTTATTAAAGTTTTTTTTTCCCTCCCCAAGAAAACTTTTTGTAGAAAATTCTCTGGGACTCGAGAAACAACTTGCCAACAGCATTTGTGAGGCGGATCGGGGACACGTCTCTACAGCAGTACCTGAAGGATGGTGCTGGGGAAGGCGCAGCTTTCTTTACGTAGAACTCTGTTTTCAGACAAGTCCAGTCTGACAAAAAAACAGAACCAAACCCAGCCCTAACACCTTTCGCACGGAGCAGCCCAAGGGGTCGAGGCTGCATCCTCGTGGAGAGCACGGTACCCATGGCTCAGCCTCCTGGCCCTGCGCCTCAGAGGGTTTCGATCCTGTCCCAGCTAGGCGTGGGTGCTTGCCCCGTGTTTGTCACCCCTGCTCGCGCAGCCCCTCTGCTCTTCTCCAGCCCAGTTCACCGTCCAGCCTCTTCCAGGGGCTCCCCCTTTCCCCAACTTTTACTGGCACTTTATGCATTGGGAGATTAAAAACTCCCCAAGTTGGTTTGTCGGAGGTGCTGAGCACAGGGCCTGCAGAGAGCAGCGGCTGCTCAGCACCTCTGCCTGCCAGCCGGTTTGCTTTTAACCCCCCTGGGTTTACCAAAGCCAACTCAAAGAGGGAGACGGGGCAGTGGCCCTGGCGAGGGGGATGCTGGCGGCAGGCTGAGACCACAAGCAGGAGATGGTCTTGCTTGCAGAGGGCATCAGCCCCAGTACAAACACCGAGTTAAAGGTTGGACTCAATGATTTTAAAGGTCTTTTCCAACCTAAATGATTCTATGATTCCACGAGCTCTCGGGGACCGGCAAACCCCAGCATCGGCTACCGGCGAGAGCTGCGTTTTGCGCAGGGTGGTTCCTACATCCCGAAGCTGGAGCCCAAAGCAGCAGCGGGGCTACGAGCCGGGTGCACCCC